ACCAAGCAGGTAAAAATGAAAATAAAAGTGGAAGGTCCGACCCCTAATAAATAGTGCTGAATTTCTTAAAGGTGCATCATGCCTAGGGCAGTGGCTGAGTGTTGGGGGCCTAGGGCTAGTATTATCACTGAGTTGAGATTTCTTTTTCCTGCAGAACATGGCACATTACATTCAGTGTCACCAGTCTCTACCTTATCCGGTCATTAAGGCAAGTTGTGTTCCTTCTGTTTTTGATTCTTCTGCTTCTAAAAAGCAAGAGGTTTGGAAGAGCTTCTTTCCCTAGAACAGGTTTATGATCTGCCTGATCAACTAAGTCAACTAAGTTGGTATGGATCCCATACTTATCAAGGGCTTTTTACATTGAGTAACATAATAATTAGGGAGCAGCTTCCTGAGAATGTAACCATTCAAAGACGCGTTCTTAGTGCACGTGTTATTAACTCTAAGACAATTTCAATGGTAGATGCCTCCAATTTTCTTCCCTGCCCACCGTGGGCTGCACCATCCATCCAGTCCCACTGTGAGCGGTGGCAGCTTGGCTTCTCCAGCACCTGGCAGCTCCCCTCCCTGGTAAGTGCCACACGTGCTTCCCCAGCAGCCTGCGGACACACCTATTCGGCCTCGGGCATTTATTTTGCTAGAAAACACCCAGCCCCGTTTCAGTCCGTGGTCTGGTGACTTCACCCCCCTCTGGTGCAGCTTGTCAATGATCTTGGAGTCCAGCTGCTACCCTTCCTACAGGAGACTGCTAGACTGCAGGACAGAGGAGCTTGGGTGCTGGTGGCGAAGTTGGAAATCTCCCTCCCGCTCTATCCCAGCGTATGGAGGAGTTAAGGCCAAGAAGGGGACCAAATTGACGGTTTCACAGCCCTTGCCTGAGTCTCCAGCCAAATTAGCTGATCCCCGTCTTTGCTGGGGGCCAAAGTCAGTGTCCTTCCCCAGGTGTCATTTCTACTGTTAATTAGTACCCGTACATGTTTTCCTCACTTTCTTTCGCTAGTGGACGCCTCTTAGCACGCTGCATGTTATGAGTGAAGGAGAAATTCTGTACTTTTAAAAAATCTCCTTAATGTAAGAATGAGGGGTAGAAGAGGGAATATTTAAAAGATTAGCTACTCGAGGATTTAACTTGGCTTTGACATTCACTATTTGGAAAGGTCTTAAAATGATTCCTGTTTTAGGAATCCTTTTTCAGCTACTTGTTATCCCAGGGAGATTAGTTTATACCTTCCAGCCCCAGCGGCTGTGAGTCTCAGCTGCTTTAGAGAATGAAATCCACCTTGTCTGTAAGTGTTTTCGGCTCATGGGATTCAATTTAAGTCCAGTCAAGTTTCCTTGGCTGGGGTTTTGTCCTGTGAACAGGTACTCAGTTGTGTCTCGTGTGTCTGCATTCACTGGTGACTCTATACTTGCTTGGTCCGAGCATAGTTAGGTCAGCTCCTAAAAATGCATTCAGCAGAAGACTTCAAAACATCAATTGCTTCATTTGTATGCAAATAGAAAGTGGTGGATAATTATATATTATACGCCTTTGTGTAAGTTCATTTAATACTTGAAGCAGTCTTTGTCTCAAAGGAGTGTGCCCTTACTGAGAAAAAGGGTATGTGAATGGTACGTTTATTCTTGGAGAGGGTGGATTGTTTACATCATGTCTGGACTTTTGTCTAGTTGGGTAGACGGTTCTACACCAGCAGTCCCGCCAAAAAGAAGTCTACATAGACACTATTTTGTGTCATACTGTACACTTTTGAATTTTAGCCAACAGAGAAATAAGTATTTGAACTGTAGCTTAACGGTGGAGCAAGAGACTAATGGTTAAAAGAAGGAGAATTAAAAACAGCACATTTAATTCTTGAGGAGAACTGGGAAGGGGGGATCTCCATGCGATAGGCCACTGCAGCTCTGCCCTCACGGCAAGGATTACGATTAATCCGACATGGAGTCTGTCTCTTGTTCTCAGTTGTATGTTAAAGACTGGCCTGTCACCAGGAGGAAGTGCTTGTATTCAGCAGAGCTGAACTCAAGAAGAAATACTTCTTTAAGAAAAACAACACCAGAACAAACAGAGTATCTAAAGCAGCCAGGAAGAGGGGCTGTAATCAAGATGGCAAGGCAGAGGAATACCGACATCACATAGACTATGAATTATGAACAGACTGTGAATTATACTCTAGAGCCTGGTGTATTATATTCAATCATACGGTTTAACGATGACATACTGTAGAAAATAGAGGATGCCGTTTTGTCATCCAGCAGTCAAAGGCAGTAATGTAAAATTTCTCAGATTCTCTTCTAAATGAATGCATATGAACTTCAAGCTACATGACGTTTCTCAGCTCCAGTTACTCCGTTGCTGTAAAATACCCCCAAACTGGGTGGTGACTAGAGTCTGCAAAGGCTGGAACACATAACTGACTTGAGATATCCATTTGAAGGTTGTGAGAGTTAAAGGGGAACAGACTCAGGCCTATTTTAATAGCCTTTTTCGTGTTACTTTGGTGTGGGATGAGGGTATAAATCTCAGCTGTACTTTCTTTCCTGTGATTCGGCAGGACACAGAGCCCTCCAGATGACCAGCTCTCTGGGGTTGCAATTACTACTCACTGGCTTCCTGCGCAGCTTGATAATGTTCTGCTCCTGTTTCAGCCCGGCTGCGGCGGGGCAATGATTTGATAATAAGAGATCCTGATCAAATTAGAGAGCCATTTGCTTCTGGACGAGGATGTTAATAAAAGGGTTGATGTCCACACTGCCTGCTTTTTTTTTAAAGGTCAAAACATATTCTTACTACAAACTACTACAAAAAGCAGAAGAATCAGAAGCAGCATAAAGTTTGTGCTTTCGTTTCCCTTCATTGTTACATCTGGGAAAGGGTCTCTTCTTTATTGGCTGAAATCCTGACTGGTTCTTTTTGCCTTACATTTGGAGGAGTTGAAATTAGAAGTGGACACATTGGGAAGGTGACTGTATAATGAGTCTCTAACCTGCTAAACTCTGTGAATTAGAATCAAGCACTTGGGAGCTCTTGGTTCTCTGAGCTGGTTCTCTCTGTCTCACACACACACACACACACACAAATGCTCGAACTTGCATATGTTTTAAGACAACAGCTTTTGCTTTAGTTGGGCAGTCATGAGTGTTGTATGTACAGTGGTTCTTCTTGTCTGAGACTCCAGAGTAGGATGGGACTGCTCTCAGTGGGAGTTTGTTAGGATTTGGACTGTATCCCACCTGCAGTGTTTAGAAAAGCCAGACAAGAGGGCCATGAAATCCCCCCTAGTGTACCACTTGCCCAGCCCATCTAAGTCAGGAGCTTTGCAGGCAAGTTCAGAGCTCTGTGGGCCGTGGTGGTGACATAGGCAGAGGACGGGCAGAGTTGCCAGCGCCCCGCCTGGTCTGGGATCGCCTGTGCGCAGCTCCGTGAGAGCTCAGGGACCACGTGAAGATTGTGATTGGTCTCTAGACCACACCTAGTTGGTGAGTGCAGCTGCTGCCTGAAAATCCCTCAGCTCTGCTGACATCGCTGGAGTGCACGCAAGCCTACCTTTGGACACCAGACCAGAGAGCGACCGTGGAGCTGCTGCGGTGGACGAGTCGTGGAAACTTTCCTGAGTGAGTGAAATGGGGAGAAAGGGAAGCTGGTGGTTGGCACTGAGGGGCGTTGCTGGGCAGGGCAGCAGTGGAGGTAAAGAACTGGTTTGTGATTGTTACCACATGATTCCATCTGTGGTGGAAGGTAGAGTGCTGGAGCAGATGCCAAGAGCACGATGGGGAAGGAGATTAGCCCAGAATCAAATTCATACCCACCTCTTGGCACTCCTGCTATCCTGGCTGGCCAGAAGGGCAAGCATGCCTGGCCACAAAGCAGGGATCCTCAAACTCTTGTGTACTAATGAGCCTTGGGGCCAGAGGAATTGCGGAGGGGCTGCAGCGAGGGTCTGCTGCTTTCCCCCTACTCAAAAGGCTTTCTTCTCTTCCCCTCCCAAGTAGCGCTGACAGCCGGGGCTGCAGCTTGAATGATGGCAAAAGAAAGCTTTACTTCGCCAGCCCATTAGCAGCACTCACAACATTAAAAATGAATGAGGTGGATGGGAGGAGAGGGCTGGGGGTGAAGACCAGTGCAGCAGCGGGGTCTGGGAACCGCAGGCTTCTCTCTTCTCTGAGCCCAGATCCAGATCGGGAGCCTAAGAATGAGGGGAACTTTCGGTTTAAAAGAATTCTGTAGTGTCAGTGCAGAGTGTCCAGGTGGTTGTTAATGGAGAAAATCAGCACTTTGGGCTTCCTTAGCCTTAGGAAAGTATGTTCACTCTGTAGAGGGCCGGGACCTAGTCTAGCCCCCTGTGTCCACGCTGCCTATAACAGTGCCTGGCTCAGCAGCGCTTGCTTAGGGTCCAGCGGAGGTTGGTCAAGGGGAGAGAACCGTCCTCTTTGCGTGCTCAGGGTCTCCCGGGTGCCCTGCCCCGCAGGTCCTCGGGCCTCCCGCGCAGGGCGATGCCGGCCTCGACCACCATCCACGTGCTGCAGCTGTTGCGGGAGCTGCTGGCCTTCGTGCTCCTCAGCTACACGGTGCTCATCGGGGCGCTGCTGCTAGCCGGCTGGACCACCTATTTCCTGGTGCTGAAGTGACAGCGCCCCTGGCCCGGCTCCCGCCCCTCCCGCCCCGACCCCCGCCCCGACCCCCGCCCCAGCAGCAGCTTGCCCAGCAGATCGCTGCTCCGCCTCCGACTTCTGTCCTGACGGACCCGCACTGCCAGCTAACGAGAGAACTCTCCCGAGGTGAAGGGCCCCAGTCCAACCACCCTCCACGACGGCCGACTTGGCTCCGCCCGCTCCGCGTCCTCACACGGCCCGCCCCGCCCCACGCGGAAGCTCCGGCAGTTGTGTGTCCGGCGAGGCTGTTATAGCCGTTACCTTCAGCCTCGCCCCCTCTCTCCCCGTCTGTCCAATCCCGGCTGCGCTCCCGGGCGGGGGGCGTGGTCATGCGAAGAGGCCCTCTCATGGGGGGGCCGTGCCCCGCCCCCCGCTCACGAAGTGGCGTCACTTCCGGCGTGTGCGTGTGGGGTCCGTCAGATGCGGGATGGCGGCTCTACGGAGTTGGCTGTCGCGGAGCGTAGCCTTCTTCTTCAGGTAGGGCTTCAGGTCGTGTAGGTCAGGGTCGGACAGAGGGAGGGGACACTGAGAGCGCTGCACTCGGGCCGCAGCCCCGGCCTTGCGGGCGCGCGCTTCCCTTCTCGGCCGAGAGGGTCACGGCGTCCCGCCCGTCTCGGAGGTCTGAGGACGTCCCGCCTCTGCCTCTGGCCAGAGGCCTCCCGCCTCCTCGGCCAAGCCCGGGCTTCGTGTCTCACTGACGGCTTTTCCGTTTTCCCACCTACCGAAACCGCGTTCCCTCACCCTCGGGCTGTCTTTTGGGGGGCGCTCGGCCTGCCCGCGAAGTGACTCTTGTTGGCCCATTGAAGTCACTGGGGAGAGTAGGGGAAGAGGCTCGGGCAGGCGGCGGGTTCCCGGAGGAGGTTTTCCGTGAGGGCGGAGGAGCCCCAGGAACTTGCCTGCCTCCCCGCGGGCCCTGCTCCCTCGGCCTCTTGACGCCTGCGGGCTCCAGGGGACCATCAGAGCCCTTGCAGCCTAGGCCAGAGGGCCTGCCTGCAGAAGCGTTTTATTTTGGCCTGAGTTTTTAAAAAGCTTTGAGACCACCTCTTAAACGTCCACACCTGGTAACTCTTAAACTGCGGCACCATCGGCCCGGGCCTTTCCAGTCCACGCAGCTCCCCACAGAGCCCTGTCGTGTGGAAGGCCACCCTGCGTCGTCATTTGGGTTCCAGCGGGGCCCGAGTTTGAGTCTCCAGCCCCTGCAAATATCAGTAAATTGAAGAGGCTTTTACAGGTTGGTGGTTGTGCCTCACTAAATTTGACTCCTGTTTCTAGGTACAAACGGTGTGTGCCAGTCGTGGCTAACTGTGAGAAGCGCTGTTTCTCGGAATTGATAAGACCATGGCACAAAACTGTGGCTGCTGGATTTGGGGTAACCCTGTGTGCAGTTCCTATTGCCCAGGTGAAGTACTGTCCTGTCACTCCGTGTTGTTTGTCTTTGTGTACTGTGTCCTCTTGAAGTCCCAGGTGGGCAGTGAAGCATCTGACAAGCTCTCATGGTTTTACCCCGCGCCCCTCCTCACCCGCATGTGATGGTACACTTTCTAGTGTATCGGCATCTTTTCAGAGCTGAGCAAATATAGTAATATTTCCATTTTAATAGTATTATTTGGTAGGAACACTATGTCAAGTTGGTCAGATTGTATAAAGAGGGAAGAAAGAAAACATATTACAGTATCAACAAAATAGTCTTTCATTCAATAAAAATGTATTGGGCAACTTTTATGTGCCATACACACTGAGACCGTATGAGCAAATCAAACGAAGTTTCTGCTTTCATAAAGCTTACATTCTGGAGATACGGAAGAGGAGAGTGGAATGAGAGGGGGAGAGAGAGAGAGAAATAGATGAACTCAGCTCACAGAGTTAGCTCAGGACCAGAATGTGCTTCGACTTCTGTACTTTGTGGGCCATTGTAGAGCTTTGGATTTTATTATGGAAAAGAAGCCACAGAGGATTTTAACATAAGATTATTATGCTCTGACATAAGTTTTTAAAGGTTGCTGTGTGGAACTAAAAAGACCAGCAGGGGTCCAGGCATGAGATGATTGCGGGCTTGGCTCGGGTGGGGGAGCGGGCTGAATGCCATCAGCAGGAGTTGCCGATGGGTTAGGTGTGAAGTATATAACTTCGCTTCCAGTGCTTTTAAAAGGCCTAAGCAACGGAGAGAATGGTGTTGCCGTATACTGGGATGGAGAGGAATAGGTTTTGGGAGGAAGAAACCAAGAGTTCAGTTTTGGAAATGACATCTAGGTGGAGTTGTCAAGTAGACAGTGATGTGAAAGTGGTACCTTATTAAAAAACCGTTGGTTATATGCTTTATCAGGAAGAGCTAAATAAGAAATCGGCAAACCCCATTTTGGCAAAATGTTCCTGATACTTAAATGTGTGTTTATCACAGCAACAAGATTAATTCCATCTATCACAAGTATTTTCAGCATCTTCTGAGGCTCACTCATGAGCCTTTCCCTTTTTGTGCCTCACTTCAGCCCTCATCTCTGTGTACTAATGACCCTTTAACCCTAAAATCCTTACTTGAACACCAAGCCATTTTCAGTCATTGTTAGGACAGCCTTTTCTTTCTTCCTCCAAAGGATTTTTTGTGTTTGTCCTTTATATATTTTTTAATGTTTACCTATTTTATTTATTTGTTTGGTTGCGCTGGGTCTTAGTTGCGGCTCCGCGGCTCCTTAGTTGCGGCACGCATGTGGGATCTAGTTCCCTGACCAGAGACAGAACCCGGGCCCACTGCATTGGGAGCGCGGAGTCTTAACCACTGTGCCACCAGCAAAGTCCCCTGTGTTTGTCCTTTCTAGTTCGTATACTATTCTTAAGCCCTAGTTACCTCAGTTCTAGGCCACATGCCAGGAGCCTCTGGTTGATAGGAGCCTCTAGTCATTCTCCTGCAGGAACAGCAATGCCACTTCCATTCTTCAGAGCCTGCAGTGGCTCCCCGTAATGTGTTACAGAACTAAAATCCAGCAAACTCTCCTCGCACTCCAGTGCCCTAGCCAGTCTCATCTCCCTTGTGCCATCCACTCCAACCAGGCTAGATTCCCGACAGCCCCTGCATACATCATATGTATTCTTTTCCTCATTGTTTCTTCTAACCCAGGACGCATGTCCATTCTAATCCTAGTTGTCTTGAGACCCAAATCCCACCTCTTTTTAAAGCCTTTCCTAGTTCTTGGCCAACAATGATTTCCCTCTCTGACCACTTATATTGTCTATTTTGATATTTGATGATAATCTGTTTGACTCCCCTGAGTCAGCAGAGCATAATGGAAACTTTGGAGTGAGAAGATTTGGTTTGAGGTCTACATGTATACTTTTGAGGAGAGTTACATAACTATTCTGAGCTTCCGTTTCCTCATTAAAAGAGAAGTGCTAATACCTAGACTGTTGTGAGGAAGAAGTAAACGTGCATTGTAAAATGGAGAGCATTATGAAGACACAAACTATCAGAATAGGTCAAAATTAGCTTCTCATGAGCAGAGATGATATCATTCTTTCCTTTCTAGCCCCTCAGTGCGAGGTACATAATGAATACTTACTTAGTTGATTGAATGAAATATAAATATGATAAAATTCATGATTTGTTCGTGTATCAGAGATATTTCTTGATTGCTACTTTCAACAGGCAGTGATTCAGTGTGCTTATACTTTAAATAGCAAAAAGACAACAGATGATAGAGGGATTGGTTTGTTAGTTCTGATACAATAAATCCTCTGCTATGGGAGAAACAGGGAGAGTTAGGGATGACCTGTCATCATAGTTGCCAGTATTTAATCAGGGTGGCCACCACATTCCCTTAACTCGTGAGATAGTTATACTGCCCTTTTTTTTTTTTTAAACATAACAGCTGAGGTCAGAGGGAAGCGTCTCCTCTCCCCTGCATCAAGACTGTACAGCTCATTCTGCAGATTTGCCCTCTCCACCATTTACTTTCTTAGACTCAGCTTAATCCTTATTACCTCTCTGAAGCCTTTTCTAAGTTATTCTCATTCGATGTAGAAGTGATTGCTGTCTTACGTGTGCCCCTCCAGACTTCTTCCACAGCTCCCATGGTACTTGATTGCATTAATTTTCTAGTTTATCTTTATATCCCAAGCATCTAGCACTGTGGTAATGAATGAATCATAACTTCATGAAATTTGTTGATTATAAATACTAGCCTTTTATTTGATAAAAAGAAATACTTTGCTTTTTGGAGCAGAGAATAAGCAACAAAAGTAGGTAGAAAGCATATTCTAGAATTATTTTCATGTGTTGTCTTAAATAGCGAAAATAAAGCTTAAAAAGGAAAAGTTAACACAGACGCATCATAGTGCAGTTGCAGTGTGAGAATTACATTTTTCACTTGGCTGTCTATGATCTCAGCTCGAGCTTTAGGTTCGAAATTGACTAAAAATGTTTGTGTGTTTCAGAAACCGGAGCCTCATTCTCTTAGTAATGATGCATTAACGAGGAGGGCTGTGTCTTTGGTAACAGATAGCACCTCTACCTTTCTCTCTCAGACCACATACGCATTAGTTGAAGCAATCACTGAATATACTAAGGTAAGTGTCCTCTTGTTAAGTCTTGGTCATCTAAGTCAGTGGTTAGCAAACTATGGCTCACAGATCAAATCGGGTCTGATGCCTGCGTTTGTAGTTTGATTGGTACATGGTCAGGCTCGTTTTTTTGTGTATTCTCTATGACTGCTTTCGTGAGTTGAATAGTTGCAAACAGAGACTGTAGGGCCACTCTCTGGCCCTTTACAAAAAAAAGTTGGCTGAGTCCTGATCTAAATTACTGGTTTTTAGACTTTCTCCACGAACCCTTTTTATTATTCATTTTATTTTATTAAAACATTTTTTTTTATTGAAGTATAGTTGATTTACAATGTTGTGTTAATTTCTATTGTACAGCAAAGTGATTCAGTTACACATATATTCTTCTTCATATTCTTTTCCATTATGGTTTATCACAGGATATTGAATATACTTCCCTGTGCTATACAGTAGGACCTTGTTGTTTATCCATTCTCTGTATAATAGTTTGCATCTGCTAATCCCAAACTCCCAATCCATCTTTCCCTCACCTCCTTATTTATTTATTTATTTTTGGCTGAGTTGGGTCTTTGTTGCTGCGCATGGGCTTTCTCTAGTTGTGGCAAGCAGGGGCTACTCTTCATTGCGGTGTGTGGGCTTCTTGTGGTGGCTTCTCTTGTTGCAGAGCACGGGCTCTAAGCGTGCGAGCTTCAGTAGTTGCAGCTTGCAGGCTCTAGGGCAGACTCAGTAGTTGTGGCGCACGGGCTTAGTTGCTCCGCAGCATGTGGGATCTTCCCAGACCAGGGCTTGAACCTGTGTCCCCTGTGTTGGCAGGCAGATTCTTGTGCCACCAGGGAAGCCACTGTGCCACCAGGGAAGCCCCTGTTCCATTCTTTTTTATGGCTGAGTAATATTCCACTGTATATATGTACCACATCTTCTTTACCCATTCATCTGTCAGTGGACATTTAGGTTGCTTCCATATCTTGGCTACTGTAAATAGTGCTGCTGTGAACATAGGGGTGCGTGTATCTTTTTGAATTAGAGTTTTGCTTTATCCTCATTTAATGTAGGGCCCCTGCAGGTGGGACACTCACCCTCTGGGAAGGGGCTGTGGTCGGCCTCACTGTCCAGGAACCCTTTTTAAAAGAAAAATCTTAAATATAGCAGCCCAGTAGATAAGACAGGGGGACCATGCGGATCTGGTTCAGTTGGGGGTACCAGGGGCTTCTGTGTGAGGACAGTTTAAAAACCACTGATCTGAGCTAATAGAGAGTATATGGATAATCAGTCATTTTTAAAAGTCTCATATGTTTCTTTACCTTCATTTTCCAGCAGCTTTATTCCCAGTTTTCTGAGTTTTCCATCTGCATTATGTTCTTTTTGTATGTCTAAATTGCTAACAAGCGGTTTTTTGGTTTTTTTTTGCGGTATGTGGGCCTCTCACTGTTGTGGCCTCTCCCGTTGCGGAGCACAGGCTCCGGACGCGCAGGCTCAGCAGCCCTGGCTTATGGACCCAGCCGCTCCGCAGCATGTGGGATATTCTTGGACCGGGGCACGAACCCGTGTCCCCTGCATCAGCAGGCAGACTCTCAACCACTGTGCCACCAGGAAAGCCCACTAAAGTTGACAAGCGGAGATACTGATGTCCTAGGATAATGCCTCTATTTCATACAATAGTGCAGGTTCAGTGAAGCAGAAGGACTGAAGAGCCAGTGTGCTGCAATGTGACTTAACCTTGAGGTGTAAGTCTCATTAACCCTAATATGCCTCACTTATTTTACTCATTTATTCTATATTTGTAGGCTGTTTATACCTTAATTTCTCTGTACCGACAATACACAAGTTTACTTGGGAAAATGAATTCACAGGAGGAAGACGCAGTGTGGCAGGTGATCATAGGAGCCAGAGTTGAGGTGAGCAAAAAGTTACTTGGCGTTTCTGTATTAGTGCTCCTGCCTCATTGTGGTTATCTAAATGATTGAATGAAGGTGTTTTACCAGTAGCTGTCCTCTCAGTCTACTATTGAATAAGTCCATTTAAATGTGCTTAATGACGTAATGCAGAGTCATGTTGTCTGAAGTGCTTTGTTTAATTTATAGATGACTTCAAAACAGCAAGAGTACTTGAAGTTGGAAACCACCTGGATGACTGCAGTTAGTCTCTCAGAGATGGCAGCAGAAGCTGCATACCAAACCGGTAGGTTACAGTTCTTACTATGGAGGTGCTCTTTGAGTTTTCATCTAGCTGAAAAGTGAGGGATATTGTGGCTATAACTTTGTGGGAAAATGTTCCCATTTCCAATATATTAACCAATATTTCATCTGCACAAAGGAAAAATTAATGCCCTTGTAGACCAGACCCATAGAAGCTAGTTAATATCTAGAAAATGAGAAATGATAAAACTACTGTCAGCTGGAAATTTTGATTGCTTCCAAATAGGTGTTTTGTTTTTTTTTTGCGGTACGCAGGCCTCTCACTGTTGTGGCCTCTCCCGCTGCGGAGCACAGGCTCTGGACGCGCAGGCTCAGCGGCCATGGCTCATGGGCCCAGCTGCTGTGCAGCATGTGGGATCTTCCCGGACCGGGGCACAAACCCGTGTCCCCTGCATCGGCAGGTGGACTCCCAACCACTGCACCACCAGGGGAGCCCTCCAAATAGGTTTTGAACATTTATTTTTTAATAACCTGGATAATTTATGAATAGTATCTATATTTCAGGCTTTGTGATAAACGTTTTATAGACATTTAACCCCCACAGTTCCTTTAAAGTAGGAGTTACTGTCATCATTCCCACTTTATAGATGAAGAAACTGGCAGATAGAGGGGGTTAAGTAATTCACCCAGCATGCTGTGGTACACAGTAAGTAAGCAGCCAAACTGGGATTCAGCAAAGTAGGTCAGATTCTAAAGCCTTTGCCCCTGGTAGCCAGGGCTTCATCCTCTGTGCCTTGGTGCCTGAGTTTAGAAAATGCAGTTATTCATTCACCAGGTGTTTTTAAACCATCACTATCCATCCAGTGGGCTTGAGCTGAATGGTTTTCTAATTAAATGTATTTGAGGGAACCCCTCATTTGACATCTTACCTGGTTGGGCCCCAACTATGTCACCACAGAAGTTCTTATTAGGAAACTGGTTTGTTAAAGTGCTATTGTTTTCTGAAATCTTAAAGATATAAAAGATTTTTTAAGTAAAACCAAAAAATTCTTAGTTAACTAATGCCCCGGGGAATAAGAGATTCTGAAAACAGGATTGGGATGAACAGCGAAACAAAAGTATAAAAGTAGCATTTTAGTAGTGGCACACCAAAGGTGGGAGCAGGGTTTCCAGGTGCAGTGAACAGGGAGGTTTGCTGAGGGTTCTACAGCAGGAACAGTCCCAGGCAGCCCTCACCACTCACTAGGCTTAGATCTAGCAGGAGAAAAGAGGGAGAGTAAATTATAAGCATTATCTGAAAAAAGACATTTTCCCAGAACTGATTGAAAGGGCTCACAAAGGTTCTGAACAGAATTTAAAATATAAATATATCTCATATGGTAAAAAAAAAAACTATACAAAGAAAAATCCTAAAAACTATAAGAAAAAACAGTTACTTACAAAGGAAGTATAATCAGACATTAATCTTCTTATCTGCAACCCTAGATGCAAGATGACAAAAAAATAACCATCCAGCTATCTTTAAAATGTGAGAATAAAAGATGTTTTCAGACATAAAGACTCAGCTTACCAACTGCTTATACTTTCTGGAAAAACTACTCTGTAAAGAAAAATTAGTTTAGAAAGAAGCAACTGAGATAGATACAAAACTAATGAAGAAAATTTAGTAAAACTTGTCAAAAGCTCTGAGTGTTCATTTTTTTTTTAAAAATAAATTTATTTATTTATTTATTTTTGGCTGTGTTGGGTCTTCGTTGCTGTGCACAGGCTTTCTCTAGTTGAGGGGGGCTACTCTTTGTTGCAGTGCACAGGCTTCTCATTGCTGTGGCTTCTCTCATGGAGCATGGGCTATATAGGCATGCAGTCTTCAGTAGTTGTGGCGCACAGGCTTAGTTGCTCTGCAGCATGTGGAGTCTTCTTGGGCCAGGGACTGAACTGTGTCCCCTGCATTGGCAGGCAGATTCTCAACCACTGTGCCACCAGGGAAGCCCCCTGAGTGTTAAACTTTTAAGTAATCAAATCAGTTTGGGGAAGAAGTGAAAGCATGCTAAGCTTTCTTGCTCGAGAAGAGAGACAATGGCTTAACATTAGACATTGTTAAACGCTTCAAAAAGAATTGGGGGGGGGAGAGGGGCTTCACTGGTAGCGCAGTGGTTGAGAGTCCACCTGCCGATGCAGGGGACACGGGTTCGTGCCCCAGTCCGGGAGAATCCCACGTGCCGCGGAGCGGCTGGGCCTGTGAGCTATGGCTGCTGGGCCTGCGCGTCTGGAGCCTGTGCTCCGCAACGGGAGAGGCCACAACAGTGAGAGGCCTGCGTACCGCAAAAAAAAAAGGCGGTGGGGGGAGTTGATAAAATTCAGTTAAGGCAGGAAAGGTTTAAGAAATAAAACCTGTTAATTAGAAAATGCAAAGTAAAATAGAACACATTCAAATATCAGTAATCACAAGAATAAATTTACATATTAAATACTTTCTGAATGTATTAAAAAATAATTCTAGCTAAAACTGTTTACAGAGGCACATCTAAAACAAAAACGCATAGGAAGGTTTAGAATTTTAAGATAAACTGAACCATTACTAACAAAAAGAAATCTACCTCAAAAAAGGTGGCAGAGCAATGTCAGAATCAGAAGGGGGATTCAAGACAAAAAGCATTAAAAGGGACAGAACAATTCATCAAGACATCAATCATGAAGTGTGTGTCTAATGAGGCAAAAACTGACAGATTTACAAGGAGAAATGGAGCTTTATACACATCTCAGACTCACAGGTCAAGACCAAAACAAAACTATTAAGTGTTGGAACAGAATGATTTTTAAAAGCTTAACCAAATGCATATACTGAATACAAAATTTTGTTCTCCCCCCAAAAAAAATTCTCTTCAAATTCAAATAGTATACAACATGTACAAAAATTGATTTTTATGCCAAGTGACAAAGACTCAGCAAATTACTTGATACCCCGCTTCCTCACCAAAAATCAAAATGGAAATTTAACCCATACAACTCAATATCAAAAGAAACCCCTGATTTAAAAATGGAAGGATCTGAATAGACATTTTCCAAAGACAACGTACAGGTGGCCAATGGGTGCATGAAAAGATGCTCGACATCGCTAATCATCAGAGAAATGCAAATCAAAACCACAATGAGATATATCACCTCACCTGTCAGAATGGCTATCATAAAAAGATCATAAATAACAAATGTCGGTGAGAATGTGGAGAAAAGGGAACCTAGTACACTGTTAGTAGTAATGTAAAATGGTGCAGCCACTGTAATAAACAGTATGGAGGTTCCTCAAATAAAATAAACCCACACACCTATGGTCAACCAATCTATGACAAAGGAGGCAAGAATATGCAATGGCGAAAAGACAGTCTCTTTTCAATAAGTGGTGCTGGGAAAACTGGACAGCTACATGTGAAAGAATGAAATTAGAACACTCTCTAACACCATACACAAAAATAAACTCAAAATGGATTAAAGACCTAAATGTAAGGCCAGACACTATAAAACTCTTAGAGGAAAACAGGCAGAACACTGACATAAATCACAGCAATATCTTTTTTGATCCACCTCCTAGAGTAATGAAAATAAAAATAAACAAATGGATCCTAATTAAACTTAAAAGCTTTTGCACAGCAAAGGAAACCATAAACAAAACAAAAAGACAACCTATAGAATGGGAGAAAATATTTGCAAACGAAGTGCCCAACACGAAGTGCCCAACAAGGGATTAATCTCCAAAATATACAAACAGTTCATGCAGCCCAGTAACAGAAAAACAAACAACCCCCCAATCAAAATATGGGCAGAAGATCTAAATAAACATTTTGCCAAAGAAGACATACAGATGGCCAAGAAGCACATTAGAAGATGTCAATATCACTAATTATTAGAGAAATGCAAATCAAAACTGCAATGAGGTGTCACCTCACACTGGTCAGAATGGCCATCATCAAAAAATCTACAAACAATAAATACTGGAAAGGGTATAGAGAAAAGGGAACCCTCCTACACTGTGGGTGGGAATGTAAATTGGTACAACCATTGTGGAGAACAGTATGGAGTTTCCTTAAAATCTGAAAATAGAACTACCATATGATCCAGCAATCCCGCTCCTGGGCATATATCCAAAGAAAACCATAATTTGAAAAGATACATGCACCCCAGTGTTCACTACAGCACTATTTACAGTAGCCAAGATTTGGAAGCAACCTAAATGTCCATCTACAGAAGAGTGGATAGAGAAGATGTGCTACATATATACAATGGAATATTAGCCATAAAAAAGAACAAAATAATGCCATTTGCAGCAACATGGGTGGACCTAGAGATAGTCATACTGAGTGAAGTAAGTCGGAGAAAGACAAATATCATGATATCACTTAACTGTGGAACCAAAGAAAAAAAATGATACAAATGAACTTATTTACAAAACAGAAATAGAGTCACAGATGTAGAAAACAAACTTATGGTTATGAGGGGGAAAGGGTGGGGGGATGGATAAATTGAGAGATTGGGATTGACATATATACACTACTATGTATAAAATAGATAATTAATAAGGACCTACTGTATAGCACAGGGAACTCAATACTCTGTAATGACCTATATGGGAAAAGAATCTAAAAAAGAGTGGATATACATATATGTATAACTGATACACCTTACTGTACACCTAAAACTAACAAATCAACTATACTCCAATAAAAAAATTTTTAAAAAGACGGTAAAAATAAACAAACTGAAAATACTGGGAATTCCCTGGTGGTCCAGTGTTTAGGACTCTGCATTTTCATTACCGAGGGCACGGGTTCAATCCCTGGTTGGGGAACTAAGATCCCACAAGCTGAGCAGCACAGCCAAAAAAAAAAAAAAAAGAGGAAAAAAAAAATAGAACCACCATATGATCCAGCAATTCCTTTCCACTCCTGGGTATATCTCTGAAGAAAATGAAACTGTGAATTCAAAAAGATATATGCACCCCAATGTTCATAGCAGCATTATTTACAATAGCCAAGATTTGGAAGCAACCTAAGTGTCCATCAACAGATGAATGGATAAAGATGTGGTGTATATATACAGTGGAATATTACTCAGCCATAAAAGAATGAAATTTTGCCATTTGCAACAACATGGATGGACTTGCAAGGTTTAGTCTTAGTGAAATAAGTCAGACACAAAGACAAATACTGTATATCACTTATATGTGGAATCTAAAAAATAAACTAGTGAATATAACAAAACAGACTCACAGAAAACAAAGAACAAACTAGTGGTTACCAGTGGGGAGAGGATGAAGAGGTATAAACTACTATGTATTAAATAAATAAGCTGCAAGGATATACTGAACAGAAAACATAGCCAGTATTTTATAGTAACTATAACTGGATTAGAACCTTTAAAAATTGTGAATAACTATGTTGTACACCTAAAACTTATATATATACTATTGTAAATCAACTATACCTCAATAAAGAAAAATGGAAATTTAAAAGTATTTAGAACTGTCATAAGTCTTGTATATAGCAGACCCAGAGAGTTGTATACAAAGTAGCTCTTAAATAGAAATTGACCCTTATTTAAAGGCACATGTCATAAATAAAAAGAACAGCAGCCATAAGTGACAGGTAATGTTCACTGTACTAAGAAGAACTGAAAATAAATAAATTAAACTTTTAACCCAGTAAGTTAGAGAAAGCAAAATAAATTCAGACAATGTGGAATAAAAGAAAAGGTATAAGAAGACTAAAAAGAAATAGGGACTTCCCTGGTGGTGCAGTGGTTAAGAATCCACCTGCCAATGCAGGGGACACGGGTTCGAGCCCTGGTCTGGGAAGATGCCACATGCCGTGGAGCAACTAAGCCCATGCTCCACAACTACTGAGCCTGTGCCCTAGAGCCCGCAAGCCACAACTGCTGAGCCTGCGTGCCACAGCTACTGAAGCCTGCACGCCTAGAGCCCGTGCTCCGCAACAAGAGAAGCCACCGCAATGAGAAGCCCACACACCACAATGAAGAGCAGCCCCCGCTTGCCACAATTAGAGAAAGCCTGTGTGCAGCAACGAAGACACAACGCAGCCAAAAATAAATAGTCAAAAAGGCGAACTCCGGTTCCTTGAAAAGAACTTAAAAATTAGGTTTGAAAAAAAAAAAATTAGGTTTGGCAAGTATAACTTTTTAGAGAGCAAAAGTAACATCAGAAGGAGCTATTATAGATATGGAGGGTTTTTTTAATCATACGAGAATATTATGATTTTTATGTAAATCCTGAGTTGGCCCAAGAAGTAAAGAATCCAAGTAAGATCAGTAACCACAAAAGTTGAAATAGTATTCACAAAGAATCTGTTCCCCCAAAGTAGACACTAAGCCCAGGCAGTTTTGTGGGAGAGTTTTATTAAATCTTCAAGAAACATAATTCCTGTGTTACAGAAAGTGTACCAAAAAATGATGACAAGCCTCCCAACTATTATAATTGTCTAAAACCAGCATAGGCCTGATCCCAAACTGGACTTGCCCAGCACCAGAACAAAAAAACTATAGTTCAGTATCACTTATGAATATAGATATAAATCACATATAGCCATTTATCTTCAAAATAAAATGATAATTCAATATTAAAAAAACCTATCAAGAGAACATAGACACAACATTCTCTGACATAAATCATAGCAATGTTTTCTTAGGTCAGTCTCCCAAGGCAATGGAAATAAAAACAAAAGTAAACAAATGGGACTTAATCAAATTTAAAAGCTTTTGTACAGCAAAGGAAACCATAAACAAAACAAAAAGACAGCCTACACAGTGGTAGAAAATATTTGCAAACAACGTGACTAACAAGGGCTTAATTTCCAAAATATGTAAACAGCTCCTACAACTCAACGACAAAAAAGCAAACAACCCAATCGAAAAATGGGCAGAACATTTAATCAGACATTTCTCCAAAGAAGAAATACATACAGCCAATAGACACATGAAAAGCTGCTCAACATCGCTAATTATTAGAGAAATGTAAATCAAAACTACAATGAGGTACCACCCCACACCAGTCAGAATGGCCATCAATAAAAAGTCTACAAATAACAAATGCCGGAGAGGGTGTGGCGAAAAGGGAACCCTCCTACACTGGTGGTGGGAACGTAAGTTGGTGCAGCCACTGTGGAAAACTATGGAGGTTCCTCAGAAAGCTAAAAATAGAGTCACCATATGATCCAGCAATCCCACTCCTGGACATGTATCTGGACAAAACTATAATTCAAAAAATACATGCACCCCTATGTTCACAGCAGCACTATTCACAATAGCCAAGACATGGAAACAACTTAAATCTCCATTGACAGATGAATGGATAAAGATGATGTACATATATACAATGGAATATTACTCAGCCATAAAAAAGAACAAAATAATGCCATTTGCAGCAACATGGATGCGACTAGAGATTATACTAGGTGAAGTAAGAAAAAGACAAATACCGTATGATACCACTTATATGTGGAATCCAAAATATGACAAATGAACTTATCTATGAAACAGAAACAAAATCAGGGACATAGAGAACAGACTGGTGGTTGCCGAGGGCATTAGGGGAGGGATGGAGTGGGAGGCTGGGGTTAGCAGATGTAAGCTTTTATATATAGGATGGATAAACAACAAGGTCCTACTGTATAGCACAAGGAACTCTATTCAATATCTTATGATAAACCATAATGGAAAAGAATATTAAAAAAAAGAATGCATATATGTGTGTAACTGAGTCACTTTGCTGTGCAGCAGTAACTAACACAACATTGTATATCAACTACATTTCAATAAAAATAAAATTTAAAAAAATCTACATATAGCAAAACAAAAACCCTATCAACATTTAATTCACTACTTGAGATATCTACAGTAGATTATAGGAGAAAAGCCACTTGTGTAATCATATCAATGTATGCCCCAGAAGCCTTCAGTAAAATGTAGTGCCCATTTCCGATTTAAATCTGAGTACAATTATAGAGAGAATGTTCTAAACATGATGGTTAAATAATCCTATTTCATAGTGAAATGTGAGAAGCATTTCCATCAAGGTCAGAAATAAAAGGACACCTGCTGTCCTCCACTGTCTTTCTACATTGTACTAAAGGTTCTCATTAATGCAATAACATAGAAAAGAACTGCTTGAATGTTCTGTAGATGAATTAATAAATACAGATATCTATATTATGAAATACACTAGCAGCAGGTAAAATGATAGCGCTCAAAAACAAAATTGCAAAATATGTTCAATAAATACTGTTTGTGCCATTATGTAGATTTATAGTCATAAAATTTTTTTCTGTGTATTCCATATGAATGTAGGAACTTTTTAAAAAAAGATCTAATTGGCTTTATTCAACAGTTCATGAATTGGACAGCAGCCCATCTAGTAAATAGATGAAATGTTACTTTATAGTAACATTCTAAAGGATGAGGAAGGTGCCCTTTAAACTTCTAAAAGATGTTATCTCTGAAGATTGGGTAGGGTGAGGAAAGAGATGTTTGACAATTTTATTAGTGATCTCTTCATTTGTCAAAAAGAAATGTACAGTTAAAAAAATTAAAATCTTAAAACGTCTATACTAAGAGCTGAGTAGCTATAAAGATGATTGTGGGAATTGCATTTGATAATTATAACAATGATGGCTGCTGAGAGCTGGAGGAAAATGCCAGGGTTTTGACAATAAAGTGTAAAATGCAGACCTGGATGTGGAGGGTAGAGGGTTCTCTGCTTTGCAGGGAGGGCAGGGGAAGTGGCCCCAAGAAAGGCTCAGATGACAACCACAGAGCCCCCAGGCTTTCCTTGTGTCCACTCAGCATAAGTGGCCTATCTTTTGGCAGGAGCGGACCAGGCCTCTGTAACCGCCAGGAGTCATATCCAGCTGGTGAGATCGCAGGTGCAGGAGGTGCGCCAGCTTTCCCAGAAAGCAGAAACCAAGTTGGCAGAAGCACAGACAGAAGAACTCCGACAGAAAACACAGGAGGAAGGGGATGAGAGGGCTGAGCTGGAGCAGGAGGCCTACCTGCGTGAGGATTGAGGGCCTGAGCTGCTGCCCACGTCTGCCCACTCGGCCTGGGAAAAGCAAGGGCAGACGCCATCCAGCCCCAGGTCAGCACAGCTTTCTCTGCGCACAGAGGCATGGCAGGCAGGTCCTGCCCTGGCCCATCAGACCAGAGGTCATTGTGAGCTGTGAGTGCCTGACCCCTATCTCCAAGGTCTCAGGCTTCTACTGGACCTGGTTCTTAGCCCTGCAGCCTGCAGGGCACTGCACCCCGTTTAACATTTCACCCTGCTCAGCAGAGCTGCCCTCTCACCCATCGATCTTTTTACCTCCCACCCAGAGCATCTCACCAACCTGGCCAGAGAGAAGGGGCCTTCTCTGTCGTGTCCACTAGTAGCTGTTAAACCTCAGTTTCCCATCTACATTTTCAAATATGACTTAGTATTTGCTCCCTCCATAGGGATGTGAGTTTTTTGGGGAAAGGGGAGCCTGTGTGTTTGTAAGATTTCTTTTTGGTAAGTGTTTCTAATGCCTTCTGTGACCTGGCCCCATTGCCCTGTAAGGACAACTCAGGCCAAGGAGCCAAAAGCCCAAAAGCCCAGGGACTGGATGCAGAGTGTTTACCTGGTGCTCTTAACAGGACTTACTCCAACACACACTTCTCGTTTCCTTTTTTCCTTGGAGTTTCTCTGTTGTATCTAAAGGAGAATAATTTTTTTTTGCATTTAAAAAAGATGTTTGTGTGTGTCTTTCGGAGCCCTAGGCAGCCTCCCTCCTTCACCACCCTCTCCAGACTGGAAGAGCCCCAAGGGGCTCCAGGAGTCCCCCCTATGGAGTGATGGCAGCATTTGCCCATTTAACACATACTGGGACAAGTTAGCCAGGTTTCAGTGTTTTAATCAGAGTTAGCAAGGTTTGGGAGGAGGTTACAAAAACAAAGTCAGCATTTCTTGTAGACCCATCAAGGGCCAGGTTTCAGGGTTCTCGATTTCTCATCATGATTGCAAAATTAAGTCTACTCGCTCAACCCACCCCTCGAAGCTGGGACAAGGGGGCAGCTGCACACTTGAGCCCCTCATCTGTTACCAGTGCCCACATGGTCCACATCTCCAGGGGGCTGAGGCGGTGCACCAGAAGGAGCCCTCTGTACAGGCAGGGGTCCCGAGGGTCCAGGGGCCGCCGTATTCCAAATGTCTTGAAGCCAGCATGGTGCATGGGGCTCACCCCCAGCTTTTTCAGGCACATCCCCACAAAGACGTCATCAATGGGGAAGAGTTCAGACTCTTCCACGGCTGCTTGGAGGTGCTGCACAGTGGCTCTGGACATGACATACCCTCCACCCCCAGCATAGGGTGGGTAGTGGTGGGCCCTATACATGGAGGGTGGGATGAAATATTTGACCTTGGTGTTCCTGTTGGGCAGGGCCTGGCGGATGACATCTCCCACCAGTAGGTCCTGGGCTGGGTCCCAGCCATCCAGGAACTCCAACACATTGGGGACATGGACAAAGACATCATCATCTCCCTTTAGCATGAAATGGGCCTGGGAGCAGACAGCTGCCACCCAGCGCTGCAAGTGCAGCTCCTTGAGTGTCAGGTTGAAAAAGTCCTCAGCAAAGTCCCACTGTAGGATATCATCAAACTCCCGACTCTCGTAGGCCAGCAGCTGGGCTGGGGGCGCAGATCCCGCCACCCCCAGGAGGAACACCAGCTTCAGCTGCCGGCCCTTAGCCCAGCTTCCTGCGCGGCCCCACGTGCTGCGGATGGCCGCACGCCGCTCCACATGGCCAGGCTGTGACTTGATGGCCAGGAGCAGAAAGGTGTCCTCGGCACAGCCCGAAGGCTGCAGCAAGATGGAGAAGTTGCGGCAGTGGCGATAGGTCAAGAAGAGGCGGTGACGGTTAGGCAGGAACAGGGAGGCATTGGCCACCGTGTGGTTGGGTGGACACTGGCTGCGCCGGGGCCCTGGGGGAGCCCAGAAGGGCTGTCGGGCCATGGGGCCCCCCGCTGGGTGGGCCTCCTTCTTCAGGAAGAACAGGCAGCTGAGCAGCAGCACAGCAAGGCTGTACAGGACCAGCCAGCCTACCCTGCGGAACATGGCAGGGCCTGCAAGGAGAGAGCCGGTGAGCGGACTGAGCCCGGCGCCGGCCCGGCCTCCACCTCCCCGGTCCCAAAGAGCAACCCACGGCCCAGCAGCTAGGTCCTTTTATTTATCTTCTACAGCATGTCCTCTGGCTCTTTCCAGAGTCCCTCTCCCAGAGGACAGACCAAACACACCTGCTATGCCAGCCCTCGCTTCCCTTCTGCTGTCATTAGGGGACTCTTGGGTCAACTTTTTCTCCAAAAGGACTTGCAGCCACTTTAAAACTGAGGCACCACAAGTGTTGTCAGCATTTCCCACGAAACTCAAGCACCTAATGAGCTTTAGTGGAAATGGCACAGCTTATTCCCCCAAAAATAAAGTCTAGCGTGGTGGCAGGCCCTGCGTTTCATGTCTCAGCGATGATAGCCCCTGGCACTGCCCTTAGGGAGTTTGCTCCTCCAGGGAGAGGAAACCACTGCAGGGCGGCAGCAGGTGGCGGAAGCCACCACAGAACACACCCAGTTAACACATACTGGTACAAGGTTTGCCTGAAGTAGTTTGGGTTTCCTGGGGAGTCGTTTAAATGGAGCTTTAGGAAAAAAACAAAAAACAACACGCACGGGAAGAGCATGAAAGCAAATAGGAAAGCCATAGACTTGTACCAGGATGGCTCCCCTGCGGCCACCCCTCACCAGTTCTACCGCTTAGGGAGCTCCGGTTTTCTCTCAGCAAGTCTCCCAGCAATACAAAGAGAAAGCTGAGAAATGGTAACTTAGTACAGTAACCTGCCCAAGAGCCACAGTAGCCAGCCATCAGTCCCCTCCTCGTCCCCTCCCCCTGCCGTGTCCTGGTCCAGCTGGCCATCACTTCCATCCGGTCTACCCGCATCAGCCTCATCCCGGTTGTCCCTGCCGCCACTGCCACAAAAGCATCTCTTCTAGCTGCCAGGGATGCAGTGGCAGGCAAGACAGACAGGTCCCAGCTCTCACAAAGAGACCGAGAAACCAGTACGAACTTCAGGGAGTGCGGAGAAGAAATTAAAGCAGTGTGATGGAATAGAGTGACCGGAGAGGCTCTTTGAGCGCACGGTAGTTTAGAAAGCCCTCTCTGAAAAAGAACACTTGAGCAAGACCTGAACAAGATAAGGGACCAAACCACATAAAGACCTGGTGGGGGCGGGGGGGGGGGGGGGCGGTGGGGAGAGTGGGCCGGGCAGAGGGAATAGTTACGTGCAGAGCTCCTGAAGCAGGACAGGAGGTGTGTAGCGTGGCTGGACCGGAAAGAACAAGGAGGAAAGTGCTAGGTGGTGAAGCGGGAGCAGTAGCCTGAGGAGGGTCACGTACAAGACCCATGGGGAAAGTCTGGGGAAAGAGCCTGTGTTTTATTGTAAGCACCACGGAGATACGTCGGAGGATTTAACAGAGGCAGTAATAAGAATTTACATTGTTTGGAAGGTCACTACTGCTGCTGCTTAGATGATGGACTGTGGAAGCGCAAAAGTGGTAACAGGAGACCAGCTAGCAACCTCTTGCATTAGTCAGTAACCAGCCGCAGCTGAGACTACGGTGCGGGCCATGGAGCACGTGAAAACCAGATGGATTTCAGGCGTGGAAAATGGATTTCAGGTGTGGGAGCTACGCCTGCTGTGGGTGAGGGCACCCGGGAAGGGGAAAGAGTGGGGGGCGGGTTGGTGGTGCCACTTACCGAGAAGGGCGCAAAGCCAGCTGTTTGGTTTTGACTTGTGCGTTTCAGAGGCCCAGGCTGAGATGCGCTGTGGACCTGATTTCCCCTTTGTCCTCAGCGCTCCCAATGCACCCAATCCCCCAGGCGCTTCACTGCGGGAACTAACCCGAAGCTCCCCACCGCAGTGGCGGCGGCCGTTCCTCTGCTCCCTACTCCACACACCTGCTTGTGAATCCAATTCAGTACCTGCTAAGCGTAAGCCTCCCTCCGCTCTGTGAGCCCCCAAGCCTGGTCCTTAACCGGCACGGGCTTCAGCGAGTGCACGCCCCCCTCCAAGTGGGTGCTGAGCCCTATGGGTCTGAAATTGCTTCTGGGGTCCTCACAGGGCTCGGTGACCCATCACGCTTTGATGAGGGAAAGGGTCAAGGGCTGGTTCATTCTCTCCACACGACAGCCTCTAAAAGGCTCTTGTGGAGGCGCAAAGGCCCGTGGGGTCGCCAGAGCAAGGACCAGAGCCCCGCGGGAGGACACCCCTCCGGGCCTGAGCACAGCGAGCGGCGCTGCCCGTCGGGGACTCCGGAGCAAGCGCCCCAGGCTGCCCCGTCCACAACCCGCGGCTCCGGCCATTCTCGCCCCAGCGGGGCGAACAGAAGCCGACAGGCAGCAGGAGGCCACCTGGCCCCGACGGTCCACCGCAGGCGGGAGGCCGCTCCCGCGGGGCAGTGCGACCGCGACCCCGCTGCTGCCAAGTCGGCTCCTCCCGCCGGGGGCTCGGCGCCCCTCCGCTCACAGTGGACAGCCCCCTCCCAGCAGCGGGGCTCCAGGCGCCCCAGGCCAAACACCGCCCGCCCCTCGCCTACCTACCTGAGCCAAGACGCCGAGCGGACGCAGGCGAGGAGCAAACGCAGGGCAGCCGCGTAAGCACAGCTCTCTCCGCTGGGCGCGGAAGGTGAGCAGGGCTCAGCGGCGACCACTGATCGCTGGCCACGCCCCCGCGCGGCCCACCAACCCAGCGGCGAAGGCCGGGCTTGAGGGCACGGTCTCTGGGGGCGGGCCCGGGGCCGCCGCGGGTCCCCGCCCACCTAGGTCCGCGCAGCTCCCCGCGCACCTGCCGGCTGAGAGGCCCGGCCCTGCGGAGCCCGACCCGGCTCTCCCCGGCCAGCCCCCCGCCTCCTCCGGCCAGCTCTCCTTTCCTCCCTGGCCAGCTCCACCCCCGCTCCCCACAGCCAGGCTCCCCGCTCGCCACGGCCATTCCCCCGCTCCTCCCCAGCCAGGCACTCCCGCCTCCTCCCGGCCAGGCCCCCCTCCCCGCTCCTCCCCACGGCCAGCACCCCGCTACCCGGACTCGCGGCGGCGGCTGGACAGACGCGGAGCCGCGGTGTCAGAACAACCTTTAATCCCGCGCCCTACGGGACAAGCCTCCGAAGTGCCTCCTCCGTCGAGTGGCCCTGGATCAGCTGGATCTGGATCTCCACAGTCAGGGGGTCGGGGCGGTAGTCGCTTTCGTACACTAAAACCAAAGATTTTCTTATTTCTGAAGAAATATGAAAGTGTGAATCCGGAGCGATGAGCGGGCTGGCAGTGCCGGGCCATCCCGGGCCAGCTCACGACACGTCCCGGAAACGCAAATGTCACCTCCGCCGTCCCGAGGCGAGCACGGTTTCAGAATCAGATTCCGCCCTCGGGTCTTCACCATAATAAGGAATAAAATTAAATCACATCTAACTAGATCATTTAACACGTCTCAGTTTGAATTACAAGATGAACTAGCTGCTTTTTCTTGGAACATCTTTTTCACTTGAAAGTACGCTGACAAAATATGGTTATTTCGACGTGAATATTTGTCAGATATTTTCTAAAAAAAGAATGAAGCCTGGCACTTCAGGGAAAACAACTGAAAGCATTTTGATAAATACATTTATAACATTTGAACTTTCAAGTAGAAACTAGAACTTTGTAACACTGTATCTGCCACCATGGACTTAACAGTTTTCCAATACTCAAAAGACTTTTCTGATGTTATGGTTGATGATAAAGAACGCGATTTTTGGATAATGGATAAAAAAAAATGTGTCAACAGTTGGAAGATCTGCATAACTCAGTGAACCAGTACTTTACAAATAACAATTGCCAGATGTTAACAATTGTGCATGGGTAAGACAGCCATTCAAAATGCAACGTTAAAAACAAAAGGCAATGTAGACCAATGGATTAATTTAACATAACTGATTATGAAAAATTTCATCCATATAGATTCAGTTTTCACACTGTAACAACCTTTAAAAAACTACTAGTTGTCAAGTCTCATGCAAAGAGGAATATCCACAGTTATTTAAAAGCCTATTAAAATATTTCCCTCTTTTCCAAGTACATGTCCATGTGAGGTTAGATTTTCTTCATACACTTCAACTACAGCAACACATCACAGAGACTGACTGCAGAAGCAGTTATGCAAATATGGCTTCCTCAATTAAGCCAGACATTAAAGAAATTTGCAAAAATGTAAAAAAAAAAAAAAAGTTTTGTTTAAAACCATTTTAACCCAAGGATTCAATCACAAATCTCATGTCCATATTTGTCTGGGTCTTCAATTCCAGTAGTGTTAAGTCCTTTGTTCTTTTTCAAAGTTGTTTTGGCTGTTCTAGATCCTTTGAATTTCTATATGAACTTGAGAATCAGCTTGCTGATTTCTACCAAAAGAAAAAAGAAAAAAAAATCCCTCCAGGGTTATGATTGAGATTTTATTGACTGTAGATCAATCTGAGGAAAACCAACATCTTAACAATGTTGAATCTCCTGATTTATGTACATAGTATATATCTCCACCGATTTAGGTCTGGTTTCTCTCAGTAACATTTTATAGTTTTCAACATATAGAACTTCTATTGATAATGCTATTGTAAATGGTATTATTTAAAATTTGTGATATCTGATTGTTCATTGCTCATATACGGAAACATTTTTTGAATACTGACCCTGTATTCTGCAACCCTGTTAAACTCACTTATTAGTTTTAGAAGCTTTTCTAATATATGCATTTAGTGCAATAAATTTCTCTCTAAATACTGCTTTGTTATATCCTACTAATTTTGGCATTTTGTATTTTTATTTCCATTCAGTTCAAAATACTTTCTAATTTCCCTTTTGATTTCTTCTTTGACCCATAGGTTATTTAGAAGTGTGTTATTTAGTTTCTAAAAATTGGGGGATTTTGCAAATATTTTTGTTTAATTCCACTGTAGTCATAGAGGATACTTTATATGACTTGAATTCTTTTAAACTTATTGAGACTTGCTTTATGGCCCAGGTATAGAATATCTCAGTTCTGTGTGCGCTTAAAGAATGTGTGTGTGTGTGTGTGTGTGTGTGTGATTGGATGGAGTGCTCTGTAGCTAAGCCGTCAGTTAGCTCAAGTTAATTGGCAGAGTGTGATTCAAGTCTTCTACATGCTTATTGATTTTCTATTTGTTCTATCAATTACTTATTTGTGCTGAAATCTCTGAATATAATTTTGGATTTGTCTCTTTCTCCTTGTACTTCTATCAGCTTTTGTTTCATGTATTTTGAAACTCAATGATTAGGTGCATACACGCTAAGGACTGTTACATCCTCCCAATGAACTGACTCCTTTATTATGAAATGGCCCTCTTTATCCCTGGTAATAGTCTTTGCTCTGAAATCTACTTTGTCTGATATTAATGCAGCTACTCCCATTTTCTTTTGATTAGTGTCAGCATGAATATCTTTTTCCATCCTTTTTATTTCTTATATTTTTGTATCTTTATACTTAAAGAGGGTTTCTGATAGGCGGATAGCTTGGTCTTACTTTTTTATCCAATCTGATCATATCTGCCTTTTAACTGGGTGTTTAGACCATTTATATTTCATGTGACTCAATATAATTGGGTTTAAGTCTACCATCTTGCTGTTTTCTATTTATCCCATATGTTCTTTGTTTTTTCTGTTTCCACCTTCAGACTAACTGAATATTTTTATAATCCCTATTTTCTCTCCTTTGTTGGCTTATTAACTATAACCCTTTGTTGTGTTTGGTAATTGCAATCATTGTTGCTTTTGTTATGGTCATCCATTTACAATGCTTGGTGTCAGTTTATTTATCTCTTGTAAAAATAAAATACAGTCTGTGTGTGAAAAAAAAAAAAGGTACAGTTCAGGGGCTTTCAGTATATTTACAATGTTGTGCAACCATCACGGCTCATTTCAGAGCATTTTCATCACCCCAAATGGAAAACCCGCACCCACTAAGCAGTCATGCCCCATTCCCTCCTTCCCCTGCCCCCAGGCAACCACTAATCTACTTTCTGTCTCTATGGATTTGACAATTCTCCACATTTCATATAAAATCGTTATATGGTCTTTTGTGTCTGGCTTCTTTCCCTTAGCATTGAGTTTTCAAGGTTTATCCGTGGTTTAGGACATGTCAGTGCTTCATTCCTCTTTGTGACGGAATAATATCCCATTGTATGGATGGACCACATTTTGTTTATCCTTTCATCCGTTGATAGCCATTTGGGCTGTTTCCACTTTTTGTCTGTTCTGAATCGGGCTGCTGTGGTCTTGCTTTAGACTTTTCCAGCAGTCTCCCAGCTGAGTGACCTGTCTCCTACCTCTCCCTCCAAGCCAGACAGTTATAAAAATTAAATCTAGGGACTTCCCTGGTGGTCCAGTGGTAAAGAATCCTCCTTACAATGCAGGGGACACGGGTTTGACCCCTGGTCAGGGAACTAAGATCCCACATGCCACGGGGCAACTAAGCCCATGCGCCACAACTACTGAGCTTGCGCGCCTCAACTAGAGAGCCTGCCTGCTGCAAACTACAAAGCCCACGTGCCCTGGAGCCTGCACACCACAACTAGAGAGAAGCCCACGCACCTCAACGAAGATCCCGCATGACTCAACTAAGACCCGATGCAGCCAAAAATAAATAAAATAATCATAAAAAAAATTAAATCTAAAACTTACCTATTTCAATGCTGCCACTGCCCATACAACAAGTCCAGGCTCCTTATACAGCAAATAAGGGCTAATGTCCTGCAGAAGCAGGACCACCGCTGAGCCAGAAGGACCCTGGACACTCCCAACCCTGGGCCTCCCTACTCACTCCATCCTGGCCCCCAACCCAGAATGCCTGTCCTGCCCATGTCATGACCGCAGCAGGGCTGCAGGGAAGACACAGGGTTTGGTCCTCAGGGTAGACATGGCCCTCCCACCAGCTGGAAGATATGATTCTCCATCCTTCCATTCCTTTGGTCCCAAATCAGGCTGATCCCTCAGCAAGTCCTGCTATATTTGTGCCCTTCCCCAAATTCATATGTTGAAATCCCAGCCCCAAAAGTGATGATATTAGAAGGTGGGGCATTTGGAAGGCGATTACATCATGAGGGCAGAGGGAGACCGCTGGTCCCTTCCGCCACGTGAGGACCCAGGAAGAAGGCGCGAACCAGGAATAGGACTCTCACCTGATGCTGCTGGCAACTTGGTCTTTGACTTCCTGGCCTCCAGAGCAGCTAGAAATAAATGTCTGTTGTTTATAAGCCACCCACGCTGTGGAATTTCACAGCAACCTGAACGGACTAGGACTGGTCCTCAGTAAACACCCCCTGCCCTGTTACCATCACCAGTCTTACCATTTTTAGCTTTCTCACTCTTATTCTTCTTTGAATCCTGAGGGGAAGAACCACAAAATAAGTTCCTTGCTGGAGTGGGGGGATGCTGGGGAAAGGGTGGGTGCTCTCACCCCCGCCAGGGCCTCTCCTGGTCTCCTGGGGAGCAGCTGCCCGACCTGCCCGCTTGCCTGGCCCCTCGCACTCGAGAAGGCCGCCCACCGTGCAGGTGACCCTTGCTGCGTCACCCCTCCAGCACCCCCTCCTGTGGTTCTGGCCCCCCTCCCCCTCCCCGCCTCCCCCTCCCTCCCACAGCCTGGCCAGGCTTCTGTGGGCAGGGGAGGCCAGGGGCACTGCTGTACCCTGTAAAGCGTCAGCCTGTCGGTCTCCAAGGTACGGACCACCCCGAAGTTGCACACGGTGGACATGAATGGCTCCCCGGAGAGCAGGGGCTCCAGGTCCACCGGGCCACTGCCCAGCACCCGGAGGACGGGCGGGTCCT